AAAATAAATTTTAGCGACAATGTGTGCTGTTATTTCTTTTCTTTTATTTGCAGTTTCAAGCTACTGTTAAAATTCATTGACCTTTTCCAGTCCATCCAGATTTAGTTTTCCCATTAAGTTAAAAAACAAAGATAAGCACTAGTTTCATCCTGCATCAGTTGGGGGATAGCTGTTAACATAACCTGTAGGTTGATTATTTTGTGACATTCCTGAAAAGTAAACCCCGCTTTTGGGGCTATACCGGGTTTGTTGTTGTATTCCTGCAAAGGAAACTTATGTAACTTAAAATTAAAGAGAGACCTGAAGTCTTGTAGAAGCATTTCTCCTAAGAAAGTGGGAAGCGAATAGAAAAGAAAATAACATTCTTGCATTTCAATCCCAGTGGTTAGTTAAGGCTCAATGGTTTTCTTTGAATCTTGCAATTTTTGTGGTCTAAGGTGTTGACTTGCAGAGCAAACTGTCCCAGATGAAGGTGCATGTTTGCAGTTAATATAGCTGAAATATAGTAGGGGTATATTTAACAGAATGGGTGCCTTTCATTCATTGCTCTGCCCTAGGATTCCTTCTCTCCATATCTTTTAGCCACTCGTCAACTCTTCACGCTTAGTTACTGTTCCCAGCTTATGGTAATATCTGTTACATGTTAGGAAAAAAACATACAACGACTTCTGGAGATCACCCATTAAAACTGTCTAAATTCTTTCCCTTTTATTCCCAAGTCTATATGACTGCGCCTAAAGTATGCATGGCATGTAACGACCAAACACTCAATCTAATGACTGTTGCAGGCTAGTTATTACATATTCAGCTTAGGATTGATCCATTCTATTCACTTTGGTTGGGATGGCTTATTTGTATTTTCTGTTGTCAAGCTGATCGTAGCTTTATAATTGATTCCTATTTGTGTACTGAACAACAATCATTTTCTAGGGCTAATGCACAACAACCCAAGCTTTTTGTTGGGATGATCCTCATTCTCATTTTCGCTGAAGCCTTGGCTCTTTATGGGCTTATTGTTGGCATTATCTTGTCTTCCCGAGCTGGGCAGTCTAGAGCTGAGTGAAGTTGACTCCGTTCTTGCCGCACTGTATGCGAGACTTCAGAAGATCAAGACAGCTGTAGCCTAAAGTCAAAAAGTATCTATTACGTGTATTGTTATTCATGACACCACCACTGTCACTTCAATTTGTTGGTGTTATGTGCTGTTTGTAGAAATAGGAATTCATTTTTTTCCATTTAATAATAGCTTAAAGAGCTGTGCAATTTGGTCTGTATTTATTGTGTATTTTTGCACTCATTATTTGTGAACAGTCTGAGAACTATTTCTTTTCTAAGATTCGTGCATGTACGAACTACTTTTCATCTAGTATATCATGTTTACTCTGCATCTATGGGATTGAATTTGAATATTTCTTTTATCAACCAAGTTATATTTGGTGGTACTTACTTGAAGGTGCATATACTTGGTGCTCATAATGTATTCATTAATTTATAAGTAAAAGGTACTATTTTTTATGACAATAAATATTAATCGAGTTGACTCAGGATACATCAGTTTCAACTTGCAATTTTACCGTTCATATTTTACATAATGTAAAATTAAAGAGAGACCTGAAGTCTTGTAGAAGCATTTCTCCTAAGAAAGTGGGAAGCGAATAGAAAAGAAAATAACATTCTTGCATTTCAATCCCAGTGGTTAGTTAAGGCTCAATGGTTTTCTTTGAATCTTGCAATTTTTGTGGTCTAAGGTGTTGACTTGCAGAGCAAACTGTCCCAGATGAAGGTGCATGTTTGCAGTTAATATAGCTGAAATATAGTAGGGGTATATTTAACAGAATGGGTGCCTTTCATTCATTGCTCTGCCCTAGGATTCCTTCTCTCCATATCTTTTAGCCACTCGTCAACTCTTCACGCTTAGTTACTGTTCCCAGCTTATGGTAATATCTGTTACATGTTAGGAAAAAAACATACAACGACTTCTGGAGATCACCCATTAAAACTGTCTAAATTCTTTCCCTTTTATTCCCAAGTCTATATGACTGCGCCTAAAGTATGCATGGCATGTAACGACCAAACACTCAATCTAATGACTGTTGCAGGCTAGTTATTACATATTCAGCTTAGGATTGATCCATTCTATTCACTTTGGTTGGGATGGCTTATTTGTATTTTCTGTTGTCAAGCTGATCGTAGCTTTATAATTGATTCCTATTTGTGTACTGAACAACAATCATTTTCTAGGGCTAATGCACAACAACCCAAGCTTTTTGTTGGGATGATCCTCATTCTCATTTTCGCTGAAGCCTTGGCTCTTTATGGGCTTATTGTTGGCATTATCTTGTCTTCCCGAGCTGGGCAGTCTAGAGCTGAGTGAAGTTGACTCCGTTCTTGCCGCACTGTATGTGAGACTTCAGAAGATCAAGACAGCTAAAGCCGAAAGTCAAAAAGTATCTATTACGTGTATTGTTATTCATGACACCACCACTGTCACTTCAATTTGTTGGTGTTATGTGCTGTTTGTAGAAATAGGAATTCATTTTTTTCCATTTAATAATAGCTTAAAGAGCTGTGCAATTTGGTCTGTATTTAACACCCATTAAAACTGTCTAAATTCTTTCCCTTTTATTCCCAAGTCTATATGACTGCGCCTAAAGTATGCATGGCATGTAACGACCAAACACTCAATCTAATGACTGTTGCAGGCTAGTTATTACATATTCAGCTTAGGATTGATCCATTCTATTCACTTTGGTTGGGATGGCTTATTTGTATTTTCTGTTGTCAAGCTGATCGTAGCTTTATAATTGATTCCTATTTGTGTACTGAACAACAATCATTTTCTAGGGCTAATGCACAACAACCCAAGCTTTTTGTTGGGATGATCCTCATTCTCATTTTCGCTGAAGCCTTGGCTCTTTATGGGCTTATTGTTGGCATTATCTTGTCTTCCCGAGCTGGGCAGTCTAGAGCTGAGTGAAGTTGACTCCGTTCTTGCCGCACTGTATGTGAGACTTCAGAAGATCAAGACAGCTAAAGCCGAAAGTCAAAAAGTATCTATTACGTGTATTGTTATTCATGACACCACCACTGTCACTTCAATTTGTTGGTGTTATGTGCTGTTTGTAGAAATAGGAATTCATTTTTTTCCATTTAATAATAGCTTAAAGAGCTGTGCAATTTGGTCTGTATTTAATGTGTATTTTGCACTCATTATTTGTGAACAGTCTGAGAACTATTTCTTTTCTAAGATTCGTGCATGTACGAACTACTTTTCATCTAGTATATCATGTTTACTCTGCATCTATGGGATTGAATTTGAATATTTCTTTTATCAACCAAGTTATATTTGGTGGTACTTACTTGAAGGTGCATATACTTGGTGCTCATAATGTATTCATTAATTTATAAGTAAAAGGTACTATTTTTTATGACAATAAATATTAATCGAGTTGACTCAGGATACATCAGTTTCAACTTGCAATTTTACCGTTCATATTTTACATAATGCATTGCTTATTCTAAAATTATATCTAAATCGCTTTAAAATGTTTTGTACAGAATAACATGAGATACATGTGCTGAAAATTAGTAAGTAGAGAAGGATGAACCTATTATACAGCTTCAATCCATGCACCACCTGGCCAATGGACAACCAATATTGTGACTAACACTTATGGGGTCTCAGTATCAGAAATTTATGACTTAAATTATTCGGGTGCATAGGTTATAAGGTGGGTGTAGGGACTAGAATTCTCTTCTTTCCAGACAAATGGATCGCCAGAGTTCATTCATGGAGGATTTTCCAGATTTATTTTCTTTTGGTGGCAACCCTGAAGCCTCTATTGCTGAGACCTGGACTAACCAAGGATGAAATATCATCTTTAGGAGGCTTCTAAATGACGGGGAGGTTGAGAGAGTGGCCAGCTTACTGCAAAGATTAAATGATTTCTCTGGTTTAAATACTAGCCCTGATACAATGATAGATGGAGACATGATAGGGATGAAAATTTTTCAGTGGAAGATTATACAGAAGAAATTTGTCCTCACAAACTGGGAGCATCTCTGGACCTTGGAAACAAATATGGAAATCTAATATCCTACCAAGATCAAGTGTTTCACATGTCAAGTATGTAGAAGAGCATGCCTAACTCATGAGAAACTGAAAAAGAGAGGTTTTGAGATTGTCGCAAGGTGCTTCTTTTGCCATGAAAAGGAGGAAACAAATAGTCATCTGTTTCTTCATTGTAGAGTGAGTTCTCAGGTGTGGCATATGTTTTACAATCTCCTCCAAAAATCATGGGTGATGCCTGAGCATACAACAGATCTTCTAACCTGCTGGATGAGGAGAGGTGGAGTAAAAAACAGGAAAAAATGGTGGAGCCTAGTCCCTTCTTGCATATGGTGGTCAATCTGGAAGGAAAGAAATAATCGATGTTTTGAGAATATTACTAATCCAATGCAATATTTTCGGTGTAAAGAAGAGGGTATAGATGAGGTAGGACAGCTAGTAGACTTCCTAGGCTCTCTGTAATTAGGATTACTTGCATTGTAATTTTTTGATGGTTGACAGTATACCCGCGTTGCTGAGGAATACAACTTTACCTTGCTTAAAAAAACATGTGGATACTTGCAGGAAGCACAACCAGATTGACATAAAACAGTATAACCAACAATTCTGTAATTTAACAAAATCAAACACAGAGCACCTAAAAATAGCCACTTGGTTAGCAAGAGCACTTGTATCTCATTATAATTTTTTTTGAAACATTAGGCAGAACTACATTATTATCATATAAACACAGATCCCTTGTGTGCTTTTCATCATTAATCTTGTATAGTGAAAAAGGAGATAGCTCAATCTAATGACTCTTTTTTCCCCTCTACCTTTCATAACCACTCTTGCTAAACCTTTTTCACTTTATTTACAATGTACATTGTATTGTATGTATCATTAGGTATCTAATCATTACTTACATTTTTACACTCTATATCTGTCTCGTTATTAGGGAAATCTACACTTGGTTTACAAAGTCCAAACATGAATTGCTAATTTATAAAAGACGAAATGGCTTGGGAGATCCTTGTACTTATTTTGATTTGTAAACCTAACTACTTAGGTTACAACTGTAAATGTACTGACTCCAGATCAGTTTCTGTTGCTTGGGATAGAACTATGAGTGGAGGAAATGGAGGAGTCATAGTGGAAGAAGAAAGTGGAATTTCTAAGGCATAAAGTAGCTCGCGAGGGACTTGAACTTGATTTCCCTATGATCACAAAACAATATTTTGTTCAAAACAATTTGATGTAAAAATGTAAAATGATGTGGCAAGTTTTATCTCAGTTCACTTTTTTGATTTGGAACTCTAGTCGAGCTGATGGCGAGATCAATTCTTTGTTGGAGTTTCATGAGGAAGGAGAGGAACCACTGATGCAAGTCTACATATCATAGAGCTGGCAGCGGAGGTGTACAAGTTAGTTAGTGGGTGATGTCCAATAGTTAGTTGGTGCCCATTAGTTAGTTACAATTCTGTTACAAAAGTCAGTTGAATGTTCAGGAGTAGTTAGTTGAATTCATTAGTGGATTAGATCCATATATACCAGGTAAAAGATTTCAATTGATTCATTAAATGATGATACATTTCTTTTTCTTCTAAAATTCTCTCTCTTCTGATATCTCGGCTTCCAGTCGTGAATTAGCATCTCAGTTCTTCAAGTTCAAAGCTCCTAGAATTGTTCTTCTTAATTGATGCTTAATTGACTGTCATTGTGCATCAACCACCGCCAAATGGTGCTTTTACAAAAGTATGGCAGTGTGATTGAGAGACACAATGAGTCTGGAGTGGTTTAAAGTAGTGTGTTGGAACCACTAGGTGATGCCTGATAAAGTGGACTGGGTTGACAAATCAGAATGAAGTACGAGGGTCTTTTAGTCATTCACTTTTATTGTGTAGTATAAATTATTGTCTTCCTCTTAATGGTCCACAAACAGCTAGCTAAAGAAGACTTGTGCAAAAACTTTGAGAAGACTTTGTGAAGGAGCAAACACAACTATGGCCGATCCTGTAATTGGTGCTACAGTTCAAGTTTTGCTTGAAAAACTGCTTTCTCTCACTATTGAGGAACTCAGTAGCTCAAGGGACTGCAAGAAAGATCTGGAAATGCTTACATAAAATGTATCCTTGATCCAAGCTTTCATTCATGATGCTGAAAGACGACAAGTTGACGATCAGGCTGTGAAACTATGGCTCAAGATGCTTGAGAGAGCTGATGAAAATGTGTTTGACGAATTCAGGTATGAATCTATCAAAAGACAAGTGAAGATCCGAAACAAACCAATGAAAAAGGTCAGTGATTACTTTTCTCATACAGATTTTAAGAGCAAAATGTCACGAAAAATCAACAACATCAATGAAGAGTTGAGGGCTATCAATAAGTTAGCCAAAAACCTCGGTCTCCAATCACTCATGGTTCCTCTTCAGCAAATCCTATCAATTCGTGAAACAAATTCCGTAGTAGTTGCTTCGGAGGTTGTTGGTAGAGACAACGATGTTGCAGAAATAAAGAGGAAGATGTTGAACATGAGAGATGATATTGTTCTGTCCACAGGGGTTTAGGGAAAACAACTGTGGCTAAGAGAAATTTCAACGATGAACAGATCGAGAAACACTTTGAAAAGAGAGTTTGGTTGTGTCTACCTGAAATGTCAGAAACGAAGAGCTTTCTTCAACTAATCCTCGAATCATTGACAAAGAGGAAAGTTGAGGTCCAAAGCAGAGACATAATAGTCAAGATGCTACAAGATGAACTGGCAGGAAGAAAGTAATTGCTTGTCCTGGATGATTTGTGGCATGTTAACTCTACATTGTGGGTAGAGTTTGTAGATACTTTGCGAGGAATGATTACATCCCGAGGAAACTTCATTCTCGTGACTACTCGTATGGAACAGGTGGCGTCCACAGTAGCAACAGTAGGTCCTCATAGGTTGGAAAAATTAGCAAAAGATCATTGTTGGTCCATTTTCAAACAAAGAGCATTTGTTGATGGGGAAGTTCCAGAGGAAATAGTGATCATGGAGAACAGGATTGTTGAAATGTGTCAAGGTCTACCATTGGCTGCAAGTGTGTTGGGAGGCCTCTTACGCAACAAGCAAAAACATGAATGGCAGGCAATTCTTGATGGAAACCCCCTTGTTGCAAGTGAAGATGATAACGGAGAAAATAACATTAAGAAAATCCTAAAACTCAGCTATGATTATCTACCATCTCCACATCTGAAAAAATGCTTTGCTTACTTTGCAATGTTTCCAAAAGATTTTGAGTTTGAAAAGGACCAACTAATCCAACTCTGGATGGCAGAAGGCATTCTTCATCCATGTCAAGAGATCACTGTAATGGAAGACATCGGGTACAAGTTCTTTCAGCTCTTGTTGCGAAATTCCTTGCTGCAAGATGTTAAGTTAGATAAGCACAACAACATAACACACTGTAAGATGCACGATCTTGTGCATGGTTTGGCTGGGGATATCATAAAATCTAAACTATTTGATCCGAGGAGCGATGGTGGAGAAAATCTTTCTCAAGAGCGATATTTTGGATGGGACTCACCAAGTGATCAAATAGATAAGATAAAAGAGCCAGAATGTTTGTGCACACTGTTTTGGAGAAGCAATTATATATCGGAAGATATGCTGTTGAGCTTTAAGTTCTTGAGAGTTTTAAATTTGTCCAGTTCAGGAATCAAGGAGTTGTCAGCCAAAATAGGGAAGCTGATACACTTAAGATATCTTGATCTCTCGGACACTAAGATCACAGCCTTGCCCCACTCCATTTGCGAGCTTTATAATTTGCAAACATTTAGATTCTACAAATTCGGTTCACTCTTGGCACTTCCATATGAGATGGGAAATATGATAAGTTTGCGACACATATACTTCTGTTCTCGGTCTCAGACGCCACTTAACATGGGACAATTGACTTGTCTTCAGACCCTACAGTATTTCAATGTGGGTTTAGAGAAAGGTCGTCGAATAGAAGAATTAGGTCATTTGAAGAACCTTAGAGGTAAGTTGAGGATCAATGGTCTCCAATTGGTCCGTAATAGAGAAGAAGCTTGAACATCATATCTACGGGAGAAACTGAATATTTACAAGCTGGCATATTTATGGTCCATGAGGAATCAAAAGGATGTGCAATCAATGATCAGCATGTGTTGGATGGTCTTCAACCGCATCCTAACTTGAAAACATTAGAAGTGAAGAACTACTTGGGTACTAGATTTTCTTCATGGTTCAGTGAAGAATCGCTACCAAATTTGGTCAAGTTGAAATTAAGTGGTTGCAAAAGGTGCATTGAAATTCCACCGCTTGGCCAACTGAAGTTCCTTCGGCATCTTGAGCTGATAGGACTCCTTGAATTGGAATTCATCGGACCTACATTTTATGGTGTCGAGGTTAATGATAATGGATCGTGCAGCAAAATCCAAGTGTTCCCGTCATTGAAAGAGCTTCTATGGGAGAATATGCATAGCCTTATTGAGTGGAATTGATACCAACAACAAGAGGGGTAAGAATGTTTGCTAAGCTTGAGAATTTGAGGATTAGAAACTGTCCATTGTTAAAAAGTACTCTGAATCAATTTGAAATCCTACGTGAATTAGAGATTGCGAGAGTTGACAGTAAAAATGCCGTTGTTGAACTTGTGCAGCAACTTGACATCTCTCGTAAATTTAAGGGTCTATTTTGTGAAAGAGCTCACTTGTTTACCAGATGAGATGCTACGCAACAACGTTTCACTTCAACACCTATGGGTCTCAGTGTGCGGTGAGTTTCATGAATTCCCACAAAGCTTGTATAATCTCCGTTCTCTTAAGAGCTTAATGATTGACAGCTGCACCAATTTCAGTTCCTTTCCTGTTCCCAGTGGAGAGAATTATTTGACTTCCCTCCAATGTTTTCATTTATACAATTGTGATGGATTGACCAGTTTACCAAGTGGAATGCTAGAGCATTGTCCTTCACTTTACATGTGGGGGAAATGACTTCACTTTCATGCTTGGGTTTATCACTTTGTCCCAACTTGATTAGTGTACCCGCAGGGAGCCTTCACCTTATCACTGGGTTACGGCGTTTCGAAATTGGTCCTTTCTCAGAGATGGTGGATTTTGAGGAATTCCAATTTGATATTTAATGGCATTCAGTCTCTTCATACATTGGAGGTGTGGGGACACTTGCACTGGGATTCTCTGCCCTATCAGCTTATGTAACTCTCTGATCTGACAGAGATCAAAATATATGGATTCGGAATTGAGGCTCTTCCTCATAGATTTGGAGACCTTACTTCTCTTGAAAGATTTACTCTAGTGGGGTGCAAACGGCTACAACATTTGGACTTCTCAGATGCCATGCCCAAATTACGATATCTGTGGATAAGTGATTGTCCATTGTTAGAAGCTCTGTCAGATGCAGGGATGACAATTGGGTGGGTTGGGTCAAATTTGGGCAGATCATAATGAGTTATAACAACAATCGGGTCAAAATCCAACTCAACCGTCAAGACCCAACCCAATTTTTACTAAATTTAATTATTTTATTTATTCTTTAAAATTATTTTAGTACCTAATAAAATTATCCTTTTCTTTATTATGGCTATATATAACATATCTAATTGAAAAAAAGTTTTTCAATAAAGTTTTTTTAAAAATATTCTGATAAGTTTTGTCATGAGCCAATTTGAGTTACATATCAACCCAATTTTTAATGGATTAAACTAATAAATGAGCGGGTCAATAACCCGTCCAAACTTAAATGGGTTGGCAGGTTGGGTTTGATTTTGGCACTCCTAGTCGAATGGGCTCGCAACCTTGTTTCTTTGCAAGAGTCAGTTTTATCAAAATGTGAAAAACTAAAGCATCTACCCTCCAGAGATCATGCCATGTGACACCACACCAAATTCCGAAACCTGGAAATTAAAGGCTGCCCTAAGTTAGAAGAAAGTTGCACAAATCGGAGTGACCCAAACTCCCAATGGTCCAACATTGCCCGTATTCCAAAAATTAAAGTAGGTGGAAACATAATTCAGAACTTGAGTAAGTTTCAGTTTTTGAGTCTCATTTTTAATTTTTGTTTTCCACGAGTTACTCTCCTCCGTTATCCTTCTATAGTTTTTCAAACATTTTTTGTTCCACTTGAAACAAAATTTATGAATATCTATATTACAGTTAAGATATGGTTTAATCATGAATATTTATGTGTGTTTTTTCTCATTGGTTATTAGTTTCAAGGTCATGCTAGAATGTTGCTGTGGCATTTCAAGTCAAAATCCATGGGCGGCAACTACATTAGGTAAACTTTCATTTAGAATACTGTAACAAGTTTGTCAAGTTTTTCTGTTCACTCTCATGACACAATTTTACTGTTTAACAGGGTTGGTTATGTACGACAAAGGAACCACCACATTTGTTTTGTTGAAAAACAGAATCTTCAGCCGTAGACTGTTTCATGAGCATTTGGTAAAGACTGCATAATCTCTCAACATTTTACTCTTCTAACAACTATTAAATTAAATTCTACGTCGCTGATTTTTCCAAGTGAAGCTATTTTTTTTTATGTACGGGTATGTTTTGATAAATTATCTTCTCAGGTACTTTGGTCAAGGTAGAAAAGGTATCCGTGGATCGAGCCATCAAATTCTGTTCATGAGCTATTCATAAGATGAAGCTAGAAGGTTACTGTGATATAAAGACAAAATGTATGTCCATTGCAAACTGCACCTTACTTCTATGCACGCCAAGACTTGAAAGCTATGCGGAAGTATAAGGTATGCCCGGGAATAACTTTGTCAATTTTACTTTTCAGCTCCTTTTTCTCATTAAAATACTGAAACGTTTAATAGGTATTATCGTTCAACAATTTAGTCTTTCTCTTAATCCTCTAATATTATTATACACTTCATTATATGGTATGATGGAAGTCATAAAGTGGTAAAGGAAATTGTTCGTTCTCTTTGAAGAAATTGATTGGCATAACATTGTTGGTATACACAGGATTCTTAGATGCATGACATATTTCATTTTGGATTCCGTTGATAGTAGATTTGACAGCAGAGGCCTTTAATTTCTTGCACATAGTGTACATGCCTTTTCGTACAAATAGAGTTTTTGATTCCAGCAAACATTTTGAACTTAATTCTTATCTGCTGCAAGCATCATTGCCTAGTTGATAGCTTCTTTAATGTAGCTCTGCCTTTTCTCTTGAAGTTTATCTTTGCCGCATAATAAACAAAGAGGATAGACGGTATAGAGTCAGGTCCATCCCAGTTTGAACTCTCAGTCCATGCTCTAGTTGGGCCTGGGCGTGAAGGGATTACGTTGTTAGAGTGGGTAAAAGTCCCATATTAGTTTGGGAATGAACTGGTGGTCAATTTAATGTTTATATAAACTTGGACAATCATCCCCTCATGAGCTAGCTTTTGAGTTGAATTAGGCCTAAATGTCGTGCTACATCAGTGTCGTTATATCAAGAATCTAATTTTACTTTAAATTATCTTCACGAAGAAAACAACTAGATAAAATTAAATGTTAATTTGGTGATTTATCAGCTGATAATAATGAATTTTAGTTGGCTCATGCACCTTTTAATAGAGCGTAATGATGATTTTTTCGTGTTGAAATATTCAGATCCATGTGAGTATTATTGTGGCTTACATCGCGAATTAAGAAAGACAAAGATCAAATGCTAGCTAGACATTGTAGATCTTACATGCTCAAATTGGCCAAGGAACAAACGTCACCAACCGAAATAGAGCAAACATCTATGAAAAAAGATGTGTCTACATTATTATCTGAGGATAGTATTGAATACTTTTATATTGATGTTAAGAATTTGATAATTGTATTTATATTTTTAATTTATGATATTGTCATTAAGTTAAGAAAATCGATGGATTTAACTTTAAATTTATTATATATTTTATTTATTACTCCCTCTGTCCCAATTTATGTGACACATTTTGGATTTCGAGATTCAAACAAGTCTATCTTTGACCGTAAATTTTCATATATCTTTTAAATATTTTGAATTATCAATTATTGTGACTTATAGTACTTTTTATGTAGTTTACAAATATATGAATTTCATTTTAAAAAAATTGAAGATTTCAAGAGCAAATTCTCGGTCAAACTTAAACTGTTTGACTCTCGAAAAGCGAAATGTGTCACATAAATTGGGACAGAGGGAGTAGTATTTAACTGGGATTCGACGACGGACTTAAAAAAGCCAAAGGGCTTGATATATCCCTCAATTTTGTCATATAGAGCTGATATACCCCTCGTTATAAAAATAACTCACATATACCCCTAACGCTACAATAATGGCTTACATATACCCCTACCATTACAAAAGTGGTTCACATATACTCCTACCATTACAAAAGCAAAAAAATAATTTTTAATTTATTTTTTTAAAAAAATAAAAAATCATGTATTTATCTTTTTCACACATAAATTATTTTTTGACTTCTGATTATTATTATTTGAGTATTTTTTTTCTTTCATTCTTTAGTGTAAAAATAATAGATGTGGAAAGAAAGAAGTGTGAATGAGAAAAGATTAAAAAGTTAAAAAAGAATTTAAAATTAATTATTTTGTGGCTATATTGTAATTTAGTTTTTATAAATGTAAAAAAATTATTTGGGCATCTATAATAAATTTTTGCAAGAAAATAAGTGAAAAATAAATTTGACGATCAAAATAATAAATTCAAATAGGTGGTCTTTCCGAAAATGTTAAACAAAAGTTTTCCCCTTGCATCTCGGTCGCTTTAACTTTTTTGTTATTTTGTAATCTCCGGTGGCATGAAACTACTGGGCACATACCTGACCTTCACTGGAAGTGACATAAAAAAGACAGTTGAATCAACAAGAAAGATGTTGATGAAAACATATTTTATCCCCTATCGCACGGAAAGGGAAACCTATAGTTTGTTTGATAGGCCCGAAAATGCTTCTTATTGGTTCCCTGCCCCCTATTGATGTGAATTAGTAAATAAATAAAAATAGTCAAAAGAAAAAAAACATGTGAGAATGATCAAATATATCCCTATATGGATTATCTTTTCTTAATAAAAAAAAATAATTTAATTTTTTTCACTTTCGTTAATAGAAAAGGAATATGTGAGTCATTTGTGTAACAATAGGAGTATATATGAGTCACTTTCATATAGGGGTATATCATCTCTAAATAGCAAAATTAAGGGGTATATTAAAGCCCTTTTCCCTAATAAAATTGACAAGCATTATATATACAGAAATTACACAAAACATAAAAAGTGCAACATTTCATATTTCATAGAAAAAATACGTAGATTACATTAGAATTCACAAAAAGCCAATTAAATAGTACGTTAAAACACTACATGAAAATATATAATACATAAAAAGTACCGCAATTACAACAACAACAACAACAAAAACATGATATAAAATCAAAATAAAAATCTAACCATTATGTACAACTTTCAAAATACAAACAATAAATAACAACAAATCAGTCTCAAACAAATTGAATTTTTTCTCATTTTCATCGGTTTCTCTCTCGAAACATCAATAGTAGGTAGAGTGTCCCTTAGTAAGATCTAAGAGATCCCTATCATTTTCAACTTTATTCAAGTTAAAGTTGCATACTAAACCGCACTTGTTATTTTTAGTAGTTGTATTTATATTCTTTTTGTCGGAAAATCATCTTTCCAACGAAATTAACCATATTCATCATTTTCCTACAAAAATTAACAAACATAATTTTACTTTTGAAAACTAAAATATTTAATCTACATGCTTTTTGCTCTAAAAAGGTAACACAAAATCTATCTTACTTTCAGTACTTTACAATCCTAAAGCTTACGATCCGTTTTCTAGGGGTCACTAATATCTTGATCCTATAATAATCTCTGCACATATATATAGATATAGGATTGCATAAAAAATATGGAGAAAGAACAAAAAATTGAGAAGGAATGAGATGAACTAGGATAGAAATATAATCCGGCCTAATTTTGACTCATATAGTGCACTAATTTAATGCTCTATATGACTATGAAATTTAACTGTTGTTAAGATTTGATCCATTCCTAGTACACTAATTTAGTGTGCTAAAAAATAAATAAATTCACACATTACGTTATAACCACAAACAATTACAATATTATAATTTTCATACTTTTGATCGAATTTGTAATCTTCATTAACGAACTCCATCTTTTTTTTCACGTTATTTAGATTCCTCCCTCAAATGGCGGTCCATATTTTTCTCTTATATAGAAGAGACAGTTTTCAACATGTATACTAAAAGTAATTTAACAAAAGCTAAGGGTTAGTTTAGTCTTTGAGCATGAACCAGTAATGAGTCGTTACTCATTACCGATGACAAGTATATGTCTTGTAGGCTGTAGCCATTGCACATCAATCCTACTTTCTTTTTAGAAATATTTCAGAAGATGCATATATGCATCATTTTCTCAAGTTCTCTATAATTTGTATGTGTGTATTCTTCCTCCCATATCTTCCTCAGCACCAAAGAAGAAATTGGCACTGCATCTCTTAGGATTTTACCATTATTTTGATAGGAAAAAAGAGCTAACCTTCTTTAAAAATGTCTTTTTAAAGGGGTTGCCTAATTTTCTGGTTGTTTTTAAGCAAATGAAATTTAAATTGATTTAGCTGCGACTATAAAAATATAAGAGGGGGCTTGTAAAGAAATGATTATGTAGTATATGGATGATGAACCAAAAAGGTGGGATCTTGGGTAAGAGAATGAAATTTCATTATTCTGGAATTCATCTTTTATGCATTTTCTAAAACCAATAAACTTGATCTTTATTTATTAATCAAAATTGGATTGGATTTTGTTTATATATACATACTATTAGCTGTAGGTCTAGCTTAGTGTTAGTTTCTTTTAACAAAATTCATCAAAGGTTGAAGTAGCTATTTTTAAAGAAATTTTCGTTTTATTTTTTATTTGAAAAATATAATATTGTAACTTTAACATTTAAACTGGCTGAACTAAGTTTAAATTTAGGGACGGCATGTCCTCCATCCAACAAGGGGCTATGCCAATTTAGACTATCAAGTTGAAATTTTGTATTTGTTGCAAGCAACTAGATTGATAAGTCACTTTTGACAAAATTCAAATTATCGAATTGAAAGAGTATAGATTTTGTGTTTGGTAAATATACTATGATATTAGATATTGGTGTAAATCTCATGTGGTTGAACAATGAACACACTTAAAAGTGATGCGTTTTTTTATTTTTTGAAGATGGTAAAATCTATATTTATTGGTTTGGATTTTTTATTTCTCCGTCTTTATGTAGACAACTTTGGCATGATAACATTGAATGAGTGCACACAAATGTGTTCAGTGATAGTGCATCAAAATTTTAGAGATCTCCCTTTAAATTATCAGCTTATTACATACTTTATCAAACTTTTTCATGCTTTTAACTTCTGAGTTATCTCTGCAGATTCTATTTGACAATTTTATCTACAAATAAAGATGGGAAAATTACATCACTAATATATGATGTCTAAATAGTATGAGTTGTAGATAGTTTTGTTGTATATACAATGTAAGGGAATAAAGGATATGTACTTCAAAAACATTTACCACTACATGTTATTCCAAAATGTGAATAGAACCTTATTGTTTTGCCAAAATTGTTCAAATCTTTATAGTATTGGGCCCGTGCTAACACGGGCCATATTTCTCTATATATATATATACTAGAAGGGAGAGCAAGTGCATCGCACGGGTCCAACATGACTAATTTGATTGCACTGCTGCAATTTTCACGCTCTGGGTTCTAATTGATTTTGGCCGGATTCTCCTTTAGTGGCAGAAGAGGATTAAACTAGCTTAAAATGTTTTAGATGTTATTTTATTAATTTTATCCAACTTGGATAAAATTGGTAATAAAGAGTGTTGCAATTTTTCTATTGATTGAATTGTAGCAACATATACAAATTAAAGATATCCTAAGTATCCTGACTATAAGTTGAGAAAGTAAACACAAATTTAAAAGAAAATCAAATTATTTGTGAAGTGTTTTACACAAATAATTGTGAATAACTTATGTCTAGCAGGTGAACAATAATTTCTTCAACTAATGAACTAAGCCTATGAACTGACGCATCCTGTTCAACCTTTCCAACAAAGCTATCAGCTGTCTCGTAATTCTCAAAAAAGACTCTTAAGACTCCAA